AAAAGGCACACCACAGATTCTTCCCCGTTTGTGCCAGAAGCTTGTAGTATAAAGGATTGCATTTTTTCCTGAGACGCAGCTCTTTGGATGTGCTCCCTAATGTGGTTCAGCTTCCTTGCTGCCTCTTACTTCAGCCCATGCTTTAATGGTATAATTTAACCTGAAATTAGAGGCATATTTTACCCTTGTTTTTATGCAGAAATTCCTCTGATGTAACTAGGAGCCCTGTGCGAAGATGGAGGGTTTATCACGGCCCTCTGAATGCATGTGACATGGCAATTTGTCCAAGACATATTCTCATGCAGGGACAATGGGATCCCATTGTGGGAAAGTCTAGGGCCAAACGCTGCACAGAACTGACATCAATAGGATTGAACACAGTGTGAAGTTATGGCACAATCTGATGTATTAGCTGTTTGGTGCCGGTGGGGTTTTTATGCATCCACTACTCTTAGCGTTGATGATGGAGAGTGTGCGTCGTCTCGTCCTGAGAAAACATCAGTCTTGTGGCAAGAGGATGAAAGGAAGATATCTCAAGAGTCAAAGTGACTGGTTTAATTGGATACATGTGGACAGAGTCCAATTCAAAGCTCATGGAAAACTGTAGAAGTGATCCTGATGGCTTTTGGATGAGCCCCACTATGAAATCTTTGGATTAGGATCTGAAATAGAGTCAGTGAGCACAGAAGCCACTGCCTTACCAGATAAAAAGACACGGTGTAGTTGTGCAATTGAGCCTGCTCTTTTCAATCAAAGCATCTCCAGGCTCTTTTTATCTTTTTTTTTTCTCCTCATTCTTTCTTAATAAGGCAAGTTTTGCTGACCTTTACGTGGCCTCTCACAAGAGACTCCCTTAAAGAATCAAGTTCTAAGCCCCAGCTCATCTCCTACAGGAACCTAATTAAAAAATATAAACAATTTCAAACAGAGACATAAAACTTACCCCATCTCCTTATTTAGACAGCAATTCCATCAGTGTTGTTCTAGCCCTTTGGCTATAACAGTGGTCACATTTCCTTTGCAACCTTTCCACGGGTTCTTAATTTCTAGACACATATAAATTGCATTCATTCTTTTAGCACAGGACAGAATAATGCAGTGGAAGACAGGAGGGATTGGTCTGAAAGTCCCGGAGTTTATGAAAGGCATGGGAGATAAGAAAATGTCCAGGCAAACAGATCATGGGCAGAAGCAGATGTTCAGCTTATGGCTACATCTTTGATCCTTTCTTCTTTGCATCTCTCTCACACAACGCGTACACAGACAACTCTGCAAGCGTGCAGAACTGAGGTGCACCATGGATTCATAGAAAAGACGGGTTTGTAAGAGCACTGAAGGAGGGCACAGAGTCAGTTCTTGCATTGCTTTCACAAGGGAAAGTAGGTGTTGTCGGCTCGATGGTGATCAGTACACAGCATCCAGCCCGCGTGTATAGCTACCGAGCCAAGCAAATCTGGGTGAACAGCACTGCTAACCTTGAAGGAACATTTCTGTGCACGGATGAGAGAATTGCTAAGAAAATACCTGTACCACAGCCTGCAGACCTCTGCAGCAAAGACCTAGTCAGAGACCTTGAGCAATGCGGTCGGATGATTTATACCAGGAAGAGGATCTGGCTTTAAACAGCCAGAGGAAGAGACTTTTGAACATAAACAACATAAACATTTAAAATCAGTTCAGACTTTTGTTAGAAGAGCGATACTTAAAGTGCTGCAGAGGGCATGTGAATCTCCCTCTACCTGGGCATCGGCTTTCTGGATAATGTCTTCAGCATCTCCCAGGTACTGAAGCTTGCCAGCTGTGTGTTTCTGCAGCTGCTTTTTATTGAGAGACACAATAAACACTACAGTCGTGTAAATCCTCTATAAACAGCTGGAGCAAAAGCCATCCCCGCACCCTGTTCAAAGTTAAACACCATACTAACTCCCTAGCCCCTCTCTACTAGCTTGTAAATTAAGTATAGTGCGAAGAGTTGCCCTTTTGTGGTTTGAGATCCTTCTAGTGAGGAGCATCATGTATTAGTAAAGTCCAAAACATTCGAAATAGTTACTTATTTCTCCCGGTTTCTGAGGCATCGTTTCCCATCCACCTCCATTGTTCCCAGCAAGCAACTAAAATAATTAACAGCAGACAGCCTATTAAGAAATGGAAAGTGTTTTGGTTACTTGCTATTTGTGGCTGTGCATTGTTCGGCATGGGAGAAGCCAGCCGCAGCTGGCAGAATTTTCTGCTCACCACGGACCTTTTACCTCCAGTTTTTACCAGATTCTGAATCTGGAAAAGGTCTCAGATTGTCCAGGTCCGCCGAATTGCAATGGCCGAAGTGATGCAGTCCACAGTGAGTCACTCTCCAAAGGAGCTCCACTGAAGTGCCTTAACTGTTTTCCTGTTTAAGCCAACCTTTCTTTCTCCCACAAACTATCCCCGCCTCCTCCCGTTACCCCATGGGGTCCTTTTAGCAGCGCTAAGTTTCTCCTCACCCTCACTCACCAGGCTTCCCCTATTAGCCAGGAGAGGATGGAACTCTCCTCAGCCCTGGAGGAGCTGTTATTGCCAATATAGCTGTAAAAAGATTTGTTATTATCTTTCATAGCAGGGCCCTGATTTAGTTCCAGCTGTGCCGTCACCAGACGCGTTTGCTCCCTACGTGACCCTTGTACTCCTCCTGGGGTGACAGGCCCTTCCTCCACAGGTGATCACTTCCCTTTTCCCCTGGTTTCCAGCACTATGTCATTGTCCAGCCGGGCTGGTCTCTTCCCCACCAGTATGATTTTCGGTGCATAGGCACCTCCTGCCCCTGCGCAGGTATCAGGTACGTGGTTACAATCTTGTCTCTCCGTTTCATTTCCTAGGTCACCAGTGAAAAGCTCGGAAGATTTTCGACTGGATTGCATCATTCTGCAAGAAACAGTTCCCTCCCTGCTGCTTTTTCCCCTCGTCTATTTCTGGCCTGCGTGGTGCAGAGGATGATTTCTCCCTGGTGAAAAACAGCACATGAATTCTAAAAGCACGCATTGTAGTCGGTTAGGAGTGAAAAACGCCCCACGCGCCTCCCGAGTGATGGGCCTGAAACGCCGTGTACTGCGCACGGTGCAGAAGAAGGCCTTTTTTGTAAGGTTTTTTTCTCTTTAATGGCCTGTGCCTAGAACGCTAAAGCTGAAACCTTGCTCTGGGTGGTCTCTATTTTTGGCTGAAGCCTCCTAATAGTTCCATAAATATTAATCTACGAAGAACGCAGAACGCAAGTGAGTGCAGAACTGACCGCTTTCTCAGAGTTCTCGTATTACTTAAACTCCATTATTATTATCATCATCATTATAATTATTATTATTATTTGCTAATAGAAGAGCGGGAATACTGTTGAAGAAATTTAATGGGACTTTTACCATTGCAGGAGTTTGTGGTTTGCTTATTTGGATCCAAAAACAAAAAACCCCAACTGCGCACATGCAAATAACTTCAGGAATAAAGTGCGACAGTTCTGCTTTTGACACCAGCCCCATTTGTTCCCTCTGCAGTGCTTTGCCAGTCCAGCAGCCAGATATTTCAAGAGCAGCCTCACAAGGCAAGATTAAACGTGTGTGTTTTTATAAAACAATGACATCTTGTTTTCAAAGCCCTGCAAGCTTAAAATGGATATTAGAGCAGTCACATATAAACTGCAGTTCCCAAGGACAACTGTTTAGCTTAAGTGCCATTTAATGTTCTCCTAAATGGTTCCGCTGTTTAGCGTGCAATATATCTTCTAGATTAGACCTTTAATCCTTTACATTCTGCTTGCTGTGTCAAAGAGGGCTTCATGCCAACTTCTTCCTATTGGTGGGTCTCTTTCTCTCTCTTTCAACAGGCACACGAGGAACATCAAAGTCTCATGTTTTGCCTCTTTGAATCCAAACAAGAAATACAGTTAAAAGTTTCTGTGAACTAAAACCTGTAGACAGTTGAATTCGTGTTTCCCCCTTTCTTTTCGCTTTAATTTCAGTGCTTTTATGAGCACAAAGAAGTAGAACAAAGACAAAAAATAATTTATAATGTATCCTTTTTTTAATAAAAATGGACGTGGGTAAAGCTGGGTGCGGATAAATGTCAATGGAGCCTTCAGATGGCTACGGCTTTCACACCTCCGTGCCTTAAGGTGAAGAGAACTGAATGCCATTACAAATCCAATACACAAAGCAGAGAAACTATCTACCTGGTGCACCACGTTTAAGGAGAGCAGGGATGAAACTAAGCCCAGCCTGGATGCTTAAGGCACACTGTTTTATGCTGAGCCAGCGGTTCAGTGGACTAGCCAGAAGACCCCCATTACTGATGGACTTTAAGCATAAGTACTGCTTTGCAGTGTAAGTCAACAGTGTGTCTCCAGAAGGTAGCTCTGAATTTCTTAGCCTTGGCTACGCTTGCTTTTGCTCCTGAGAGGAAAATAAATTTGCCCTGTATGGCCTAAAAAGCAAAACCATCTGCTGGTATTATGAGCAGGCCTATTGTCCGAGTTCAGCAGCAGGGAGGTCTGCACTTGTTCACTTCTGCTTTCCTGCTAAGCATGGAGAAAGCCTATGGGGATCATTATCAAGACTCCCTAAAGCAGGAGGGGAATGGATTCCCCAGTCCAACAGGTAGCCAGAAAAGCCCCCCCCCCGATGTCCGGGATGATATTGAAATATGCTAACATGGAGGGAGTCCACATTTGGGAACAAGTCTGGGACGCTTGCTCCAGAGCCACTGATGGACATCAGCCACGGGCGCAGGGAAGGACTCTGCTTCTGGGCAGGCTAGCTGTGGTAGCTGTCAGCTGGAGACATGGAAAGGGACTCGGTGGGTGGTGAGGAGGAAAACGTGGTGGTGCAGCTTGGCTAGAAGAAATCCCACCTCACTTGGCCCGATTCATTAACCTGAACATCTGTCTGAAGGGAAGAGAACGTTCCGCTGCCTACTGACACCCACTACAGTTGCTTCGTTAGTTCCACAAGGGTTGCGCCCAGATACCTGAGGCCCAGTGCAGCCATCCTTACCTGCAAACAGGCAAGCTTGCTTTGTAATCAGGGGCACTGAGAAGATAAACACATTTCAGTTATCACTTACTTGCATTTCTGTTACTTATTTGGGAGCGCATGAGCAAGAAATACATTTCATATTTGGGTCCAGATGTACACACACCCAAAAGCAGAAGTATGTCCCAGAGTTCCCATTATCAGGTGTTACTCGCTTTTGGATCTGACTATTAACAAAACACGTCGCCAGATGTCAACTAACTGAGAAGAAATGGAGTCCAAGGGGCGCTGACTAGGAAAGAAGAGAGGCAAAACCCCCTCCTGTAAGCACGGGACCTCCTGGTCTCCATCCCAAGTGCAGTTTCTGCCAGCACTGAGGAAGTATCCATTCAATCCCCAAGTTTCCTTGTGGCCCCTAAATCTTTTCTTTATAGGCATAGGAGGGTAAAATAACATGGGCTGTGTTCTCCTGTTCCCATTCACTTAATACGACTACTTCAGTTTTACCAAGTACCGAAAGCTTTCCAAACCTGCCTGGCTGGCCTGTAAGAAAAGGCCTTCCAACTCTGAGCCTTTCCATTCAGAGCCAAGCCCCAAGACTCAACCCAAGCCCAATTTGCCAATCGATTTCAGGCTCTGTATGAAAATATTTCCACTAGTGTAATTATGGTCCTAATAGAATCAGCTGCCTGGTGATGGTTTTCAATACAGTATTGTTGTGAGGGTGTCCACGGAGGACTGATTAAGATGCTGATGTGGTAGATGCCCTGGCAAAGGGAGAACAACTACCAGTTGCATTTGTTAACAGGATATGTTCTTTCGTCCATAGAAAGTCGTTCAGTTTCTTGCAACCACCAAGTGACTGCAGATTGAAGACTAGCTAAGTTAACACTGTAAGTAAGTTAACACTGTAAGTAAGTTAACACTGCAAGTAAGGTGACCTACTCAATGAAATGCCAGTAGATAGGGTCACTGATCTCCGGCTGGAAGCATACACAGCTCTGCTAGTGATAAGGGACTGGAACTAAAATAGAGCTGTCAGGAACTGTGAGGCAAGGTAAAGCATGCCCATCTCGCTCTGGACAGAGGTTTTAGTTAAAGATATTAAAGATACCATTAAAGATGTCGTTAAAGATATCTGTGAGGAGACTTCGTATTTACTTTAGGCAATCTTTCCCTGCACTTGACTTCCCTCAGTGAAAATGCTACCCTGAAAACATTACTCTGATCTTCCTTATCACAGTATTTCATGCTCCTACTTGAACACGTCATTTTTTTTGCCCTATCTGCCTTGCATGTGGGGATTAGCTTGTCCCCTTCCTCTGTGCAACAACCTTTCCTATCCTTGAATACTGTTTATCACAACACCAGTCAGTCTTTCTTCCCTGTGCTAACAGGTGGTGGAAATGCTCAGTTAACAGGAAGATGCTGAGCTGCCTTCCTATCAGCCCACCCTCAGTCTTCACTGAGATAAGCCGGATTTGGAGCTCTGGTGGATTTTGACGAGCGCAACAGCCCCTTGAGGGACTTCCCAAGACAAAGCACTTCTGAAGCTGTTCTAATTTATCTTGAGGAGAAAACTGGGTAGCGGGTAATCAGTGTGGGGGGCATACAAAGATAGCGGGGCTGCTCCTCCCGTGCCTCTGGTGTGTGCTGCACACTGCTTTGGAAACCCAGAGGATAAGCGCCGACTTGGCACGCTCTGCCCAAAGAAGCAGTCGTGATACCCAAGGACTGTAGCTGTGAGGTACCAGCCAGATGTTCTTCACGGTTTTCTTGCAGGCTATTTAACTGTTCCGTTAATTTTCCCATTGTATCTGTAAGATGAACCATATATCTGTTTAAAAAGGAAATAGCAATATAGAACTTACTTTTCAGACATTGCCAGAATAAAACAGTGTCTGAAGACTTGACAGGCTTGAAATTCAGTGTTAACACATTCACGGAGGATGTGAAAATGGTGATCATACCAGGAAAAGTGTGTATTAATGAGAGCATATCTCTATCCATTCTTAAACATTTTCCTGAATGTATTATTTAAAGATTGTGGGTTAGACTCACTGATGTATCTTGGCTGCTTTGTGCAGCTCCAGTGATGCAAAACAGCTACAAACCAATTTAATTGGTTGGTTAACCTCAGTTTATGACTTCTTTGTGCTTCTGCAGGGGTGGAAGATAGCCAAGCTGTATCTGGTTCTCAGTCTCTTATTAATCAAAGGTATCCATTTGCCTCCCACTAAGGCATTTTGCGTGCTCTATAATACACCTTAATCATCATATATTTTACTTATATTCTGGTACCTAATAATTCTGATTTATAGCAAGCTTCAGCCTTAATTTTACAAAGTGGTGGAGACTATTCATTTATATACCAGTAGGTATACAGGAGAAAGACATGAAAGGAGCACACAACCTCTGCCTGAGAAAGCCTTTTAGATGGCACTATTCATTGAAACAGTATGTTTAAAAGTAATTTCAGCAGATGTGTGTGGAAAGCCACCCACTAAGCACTTGCTCTTTGTGTGTATGTGAAGGCATAACCGTACTGCTCCTGAAAAAGAAGAAAAAGAAGAAAAAACCCCAGATTTCACAGATAACATCTTTCTTACCGAGTAGGCTTCCCATCAGCTATAAAGAATAAAGATGCACCAGATGTAGGAATAGATCCATGTTAGTGGGAGCCTGTAACAGAAAAACGCACTCATCTGAAATAAGCCATTGTGTGCACGCTGAAGCCTGGAGAGCTGTGGATGTCCAGGCTTTCTTCCTACGCACAGCTGCAAAGATAACGCTGTCTACTGTTCAGGGCTCCGTGGGGAATTCCTCGTAACAGTCCTGTTCTTTCAATTCTCATTAGGGTTTACATCCCCTTTTCAATGGATGGTCGACCCACTAGCTGGGTCAACTGCTGGCATAAATCCCATCATCAGTTGTAATTTTAAGTTGACAATACCATTCTTACAGTGAGAGAGCGTGTTGGGGCTTCACAGTGAGCCTGGCTGGACCATTTTCCCTTTCTCTGTCCCTATACCGCATGAAAGAGTTCTTCCATTCTTACCTTCAGCTGCTAAAATTTCTGTGGTGATGATGACAGAACTGTACCATGCACTTAAATAATGACAACGACAGGATACCCTCAAGCTGAAAAAGCTTTGAAGAAGCGATACACATGCACAGGCCTTTATCTGAAGCTTATTAAAATCACTGGGAGGTTTCTCCATCCACTTTAGCAGGCTTTGGATCTGGCCTTGAATTATTTATTAATGACTAAAGCAGGCAGCGCACTTTTCCCAGCTGAGACAAACCTTCTGAACCTGCCAATTAGAAACTGCACAGGGATGGCACCTTCTGGTTTCTTTCAGGAGCCGCTGCTCTTACAAAGAGAGCATCCTAGCCTGTAGCATTCAGACTTTCCACAACTTAAACTGAGTGTCACATTAAAAACAGTTTTCAGGTCACCCAAGCTGTGGGGGTAGATGTCTCTGGAGATCAATTCTGCCCAGCTGTGCTTCTCTAGATTCCACCGCTGTGCCTGGAGACTTGCAGCACAAACTCTTTGCTAGACTTCCTCAACTACAGAAGGGTTTCTAAGGATTTCTTACGAGACACCGTACTTTGGGCTGTGCAGCTCAAGCCACATAAAGTTTAGCAGGGAAGATGGGTGCTTCGACATAAGAGTGAAGAATAAAGCTTGTCTGACAGTATTAATGGCCAGAACTTCAATCCTGTAAGAGGGGGATTTGAACAGGTTTAAGCTTTGCAGTCTACCTCTGAGCTAAAATAAGGGTTGTCTCCCCCAGCTTCTGATGAGGGTACCTATACGATTTTAACTGGAGCAGTGCAGGCTTCATCCTTGCACTGGCCTCCCTCTATGCGAGAAACAGAAGCGAAGTCCACACGGAGACCACAGACCAGATTTTCCTGTCAGTAGCACTGATTTCAGTGGAGATGCTGCTGCAAAAGCAGCATGCTCAACTTACTTGGAAGAAGGTGGTGGAAGTGAGAAGAGAGTTGGATTCAACCTTCTCCAAGAAAACATGCAGAATGTTTGGTATCTGAAAGTGTGCTACAGAAGAAGGGCTTGCTGCTGGGACCGGTATAAATCTTCGCCCTTTGAAACGCGAGAGACTACTAAAAGTCAGCTTTAAAACCTGTTTTGATTATCTTAGTGCATTCAATAGTTTTATCGTTTTCTGTTGTTATTCTAACAAAGATCAAGTAGCCCGTTATTCCACAGATGGAGTGCTTTGAAGAGCTCTGGACTGTAGTCTCTGTGGAATTATTAGGTGTTGCCCTGAAAGCTTGTGGATGGAGAAATCTGTCAGCCTACGAAAGCTATGGAATAAATACATCAGCAGGAGTGAAACAAAGGCTCAAATGGAAAGAAGGGGGAAGCAAAGAGAATTCCTTTTCATTCACCAGCTATTTAAATACGATTGGATTTAAATGACTACTAATTTTTTCCAAGTTAATTACCCCTGCATAGACTGAAATCCTCCATTTGAGTCATTCATGCTGAGGCTTAGCATCTGCTACTGGACCGTGTAGCAAAATCAAACAGCCCATAAACCACCTGCAATAACCTCACAGCAGCTTTTGCACCCTTGCTCCCCATCAGAGGGCCGCTTGGATGAGAATGGGAGCTGCATTTTTTCATACTATCCCAGGAGTGCTTGGGATTTTGAGCAATGCTTCATCTGTATGACCAGGATGGTCAAAGAGTCGTTAGAGGAGGACATCCTCTCTGTATTCTCGGCCACAGCCTCTTCAGTGTCCCAGATATTTGGCTGTCTCTGTGGTGGATGACATTTAAAGAGCTGTTCTATATGCTCCAAGAACTGAGACTGGGTAGAAAGGAATTATTTCAAGCATATGACAACTGGTGGGCTGCTTTTATTGATATCCAAATCTGAGATTTTTCTGGACAAGAGCTGAAATCTCCACCCCAAATATCCTTGAGTTTGGGGAAACTCCACTGTGGATAGGGGAGTTTATCCCACTCCTGACTGTGAATAACACTGGAAAAATCAAACTCACTGATCTAAAAGTACCACCACGTTTACAGCTGGCTGAACTGGACTCCTCGCTTAACGCCTTCATTTGGGCAACACCTCAGATGCCAGGTGGGGCTGTCTTTTACATAAGCAACTGTATTTAAAATCAGAGAAACCCAGAATGGTTTGGGTTGGAAAGGACCTCAACATCACCCAGTTCCTGGTGGATGCCCCACACTAAACCATGTCACCCAAGGCTCCGTCCAACGTGGCCTTGAGCACTGCCAGGGATGGGGCAGCCACAGCCTCTCTGGGCACCCTGTGCCAGCGCCTCAGCACCCTCACGGGGAAGAGCTTCTGCCTTAGATCTAACCTGAACTTGCCCGGTTTCAGTTTGAGCTGCTGCTCCATCCAGCTCCACTTAGTTTATGATTTGCTGCCAGTGAAGCTGTGTCAGCCTGTGGTGCTGCTCTCAGGTTGACAGGGACAGACCATTCCCTATGGGAACAGCGCTACGCACGGCAAGGCATGCACTGACTTAGCAAACCTGACAAAGAGAAAATGCTAGCCGCCTGGCAGGATTTTCAATGAAATGGCAGTAAATGGTCTACTTTCCATTCACGGCCTCAGTTGGAATTCACGGGGCATTAATCATTTTGTTGGCAGGTCAGCAAAGCACTCCTTAATATTGTGACACGATTGTGTTGATTTAAGAGGAAACGGCCTGCAAATCAGATAAGACCTCTTCTAATGACTGACCACATGTGTACGGGAGAAGTGACAAGGAAGCTGGAATTGGTTTTTCCTATGTCTACGCTGGCCATGCACACAGCATCTCTTCCACTGGAGGTGTCCGTCTATAAGGCTAAACAGAAGTCCTCACTCGTGAAACATTATGGGAGGTAATCTAAAGAAAAGGGCTTACACAGCTGCCCACCGGTGGTTCTCAGATTCTTTTCCTCCCTGTGCTACAGTATTATAAAACTATGGATTTTATTGAAGATTTCTTTAAAAACAAACCCTG